TGTGTAAAAATGTAAGGAGTAAAAGTAAAAAGTACGCTGAAAAATAATTACTCAAGTAAAGTACAGATACCCAAAAATTCTACTGAAGTAGAGTAAAAAAGTATTTGTACTTAGTTACTTTACAGCTCTGCGTGTCTTTGTTCTGCTGCAGTTACAGGGGATGGAGGAGGAGCTGCGTGCAGCCCCCGCCCCCTACAGGAACAGCATGGTTACAAAGCTCCGCCTCTACCGCAGAGACCTGGGCAAGCTGCAGAGAGACATGAAAAGCTCCACGTCAGGGTCCGGCTCCTCTGCCCCGACGCTGCAGGGAGGACAGCGTGGCGTGTACTCGTCACAGAACGAGCAGAGCGTGAGTCAGGGGCCGTGTGCAAAACCAAACTTCAGCTTCTCAGTGTGGAAAAGTACAAAAACATCAGTGTTTCCAGACGTTTTCTACAGAATAATTCTAAACAAACAGCACCAACACCACCAACTTCTATAAAGTCAAATGGAGACCATCCTTTTGATCAAAACTGTTTATAACCTCATGAATGAAGATGATAGCAGAAGGCAGGGTAGAAGATAAAACTGACAAAGGATGATCCTAATGGAGCCAGCAGCTGAAAAAAGTTAAAAAATAAAAATAATTCTGAGTGAATGAAAGAAATCTCATTGCCAGTATTTGTAAAGTGAAAATGTAAAGAGAATGACTGAATGTAGAAAATGAAAGCAGCCGTCTGTTGGATGAACTGAACGTTTGATTTATAGAAATGGTTAAAAAGGCACAAAGTCTGCAGATTAGATTGTAAATAAATGTACAGAAACGGTGTGAACGCTGAGTCAGCAGGAATGTTGTGTATCCAGCATCACCTCACTGATGTTGTGTTGTTGTTGTTGTTGTTGTTGTTGTTGTGTTGTTGTCCCCTGCAGACACAGCAGCAGAGCCAGAGAGCGCTGCTGCTCCAGGGCTCAGAGTATCTGAACAGCGCCAGCCAGAGCATCGAACGGAGCCATCGCATCGCTGCCGAGACCGACCAGATCGGTACCGACATCATCGAGGAGCTGGGAGAGCAGAGGGAGCAGCTGGACCGGACCAGAGACAGAGTGAGACATGTCCTCAGAGGGGCGGGGCTTGTTTTAGTTAGTCCTCAGAGGGGCGGGGCTTGTTTTAGTTAGTCCTCAGAGGGGC